TCCTGGAGGTCACAGGCACCTCTGAGTCTTGTCAGGACAGTCCTGTCCAATAGACTGTGCCTGGTTGGGATGCAAGCCCCTGGTTGGGATGATAGCCACCATGACGCAGAAATTCAAACCCTAATGGCACAAACATGATGCACATGTGTGAGCTGCACATCTCCCCAGCCAAAGGACCCATTTCATGACATACTGCTGTGAAAGAATACCCAGAATAATAATGCACAAACTCCTAAGTTATCTGGATCCACACAAAGGGAGAAGCTCCAGTTAATTCTGCCACTGCGGATGCTGCTCCTGATGGGTTTATCAGGAAAGTGTATCGGTTTCCTCTGTCACTCATAGCTTGCATTCACACTCTATTGGGTGTTTATGGCTCTTTTTGGCTCTGCTTGCAGCCAAGACCCTCATCCACCAGAGTAAATCCTCCCTTCTAATCCCATGTGACACAAGAGTCGATCACAAAAGGCATACACTCCCAAAAACCCGAATGTTCTTTCCTCCATCACTGGGAGGTCTTCAATTTATCTCTGGATATTCCAGAGCCCAGGGCTCTTTCCTCCCTTTCTCAGATCACAAAAGCCCCAGTCTGGTATCAACAGGTACCTTACCCATGTGCTATTTATGTCACCCCTGCCCAAGGAGCCCTTTCTCTTGATGACTTTCCCAGGGCACTCAGCCAGCCACAGTGTGGATGGGGCCTGCAAAGAATTCCTCAAAGAATGGCCCAAAATTAGCAAGCAGGGGCTGTGTGTTGTCACCAGCAAGAGGGTTGAAACTTGGCATGGCTTTCAATTAGTCAAGTGTCATTATCCTGAGTGCTGGGCCATGTTCAGCTCCTTAACCCCTGGCTTCTCTCCTGTGCCTTCCCTCTTGGGATGCTGGCATGGCTCTCAACCACCCTCTTGGCATAGATCTTTTGTATTGGGATGGCTGAGAAAAGGCTTTTTAGTGGCACCTGATCTCTGAGCGATGGGCCACTAAATGGTGTGGCTTGTTTTCTTTAGCCACATCACGGTCCCTTACAACTGGCTGCATAAGATGGCAAGTCCTGGATCTCCCTCCTTGGAGAGCTGCTGAGCTTTGGGCAAAAGAAGCCACTCGGCTGCAGGATGCAATAGGCAGGCAAGTAGGGGGTGAGCTGGGAGATGCACAGCATGGAGCTGGAGGTCAAGAAGATGCCTGCTGAGAAGAGCAGAGAGAAAACACAACCCAGCCTTAGAGGTGACAGAGGGTATTTCATAGGAAGGCAGTGGAGACCATGCAGAGTTTGCTGGAAGGAGTAAGTTCCAGTTGGCTGAAGAATGAGTGGTTAGCAAAGAGGTGGTGGGAAGAGGATGCGTATTCCAAGCTCTTTTTATTCCTATTCTGCTCATCCCAGTCTTTTCTGATCTTCTATCTTGTAAGAAAGGAAGCATCACACCTCCTGTTCTAACAAAAACCTGCCCTTAGGATGTTAAACACCTTTGGTCCTTATAGGACACTCACTGCAGGAGAAAGGTCCAGGAAACCCATCTCCAAGCACAGGCTGGTGCCGGCTGCTCTCTTTTGACCAACCTTCTCCTAAGAAGAGTCCCTCAGGGCTCCTCTCTGCACCATGGCACCTGGACTGATCACTGTTTTGTTGGTGGGACTGAAATGATGACATTACAGTGAATTGCAAAGGGTAAATGTGGATAGTCTAAGGCCAGCATCAACCTGGACAATGCAGAACACGAGGACGTGGGTTGAGAAGGAACTCAAGAGGATCCAGCCAAGGGTGAGCAAGGCAGTCTGGGGCACAGGGCTTATGACAAGTGCAAAGAGCTGGCCTGATAATGAAGACATTAAGGGTGAATTTAATCACAGCTACAACCGCTTAGAGCTCCACTAAAAGAGGGTGGAAACTCACTCTTCCCAGCAGGGGTAGGTGATGCAACAAGGGGCACAAGCCACAAATCAGGCTGGAAATTAAGCCAAGTCTTTCCCAGCAGGGTGACTTGAGTCCTGAGAGAAGTTAGAGCAGTGAAGGTTTCTGAAACCCAGATCTACTGCTGCTGATAGTTCCACTGCAAATAGGAGGGTGAAGCAAAGACCCAAGATGTCCCTTCCACAAAGCCTGATGTGATCCCATGCCCTGAATCAGGTACGGCAGCATGGCTTTGTGGCTCAGCATCAGCATCATCTGCACCACATGAAACTAGTTTTAAGCAAGGCTGGCACTCAGTGGGGACTCACACTGTGGCCAGAAAAATTATTTGAGACCTGGGATATGATATAAAACCATGGCTGTCAAATTGTTCATAAAGTGTCCAAAATGGCAAAATTGGGATGAAAACTTCTGTGCGGATCATGGCTCGATGGCTGAGCTCATGAGAACAATTACAAGGTTGTGCTTGGGTTTGTCTTGCTTCCAGAATGGGAGACTGCATAGAGGGAAGCAACAAGACAGAAGCCCCCAGGGAGGTAAAGGTCTTCCCTCATGGCTAAGTGAGGCAGCCCTTTACGCTTGGATGTGTGAAGGGAACAGTGAGCCCAGCAAGGGCAGTAGTTTAGCTGCAGCAGAGCTGCTATGGAGTACAACATCTAATTCAGAAAACGATGATGAGGAATAAAGAAGTTTCCACAAAGATCCACGTTCTGGAAAGCCACCTCATGGGAAGAAAGGATGATTCAGCTTGGTCTAATTATGCCTTAACATCCATTGATAGAAGCCACCCACCACCTGTGTCTACATGAGGAGAAATGGCCTAATGCAACACCACACTGCTAAATAAGTTAAGTTGATGTAAAGACCAATGTCAGTGAAACCCAGACCTTGTTGGAGAGGGGTGCAGCAGTAATGACCACAGCCATCTTTCTCTGGAAGAACAAGGTGAATGGTGTCTCACCTTCTTGATCCCCAGTTTTCCTTTTGGGATGACAGTCACCATCACACCTCCAGCCACACTCAGCAGGTACCTGCTGGCTGCTCTGCTCTCTTACTTTGCATTTCTTACTCTCTCACAGCAGCTTTTCCCCGATACGCTGAAGAACTTGTGATAGCTGAAGGTGCTGATGCTGGTGATGCGACACCTCTCCTCAGTCCTGAACTCACTGAGCATGGGTGGTGGCCCAACAGTGATGCATTTATCCCTGGGTGAACCTAAGCGATTTGGCCTTGCTTTAAACCATGACATCCCATCACGCATTAAGTCCACCTCTTCCTGAGATGGAGCTCCAGATGGCTGCTCAACCCAAAGCAAAGGCAGAGGGAGGCTGTAATGCCTTTTCCCCAGGCCCATCCCTTCCCTCCCTCTGCAGCCTTCCTCTCCCCACAACACCCTTTATTCTCCTGTCCCAGCCTTGCTTTTGTGTCTGCAGCTTCTCTTACCAACTGCTAATGATCTACATCAAGGCTGCCAGGCAGTGCTGAGTGTAAGCAGAAGAATTCAGATCCTCTAATTACAGAGGAATTAGCGAGCAGACAGTTACTGTTTAGTGCTAATGAATAGATACATTAAGAGAGACATCACACAGGCTGAGAAGTGTGAGCCCTGGTAATAAAGGAGTGTCAAACAAGGAAAACACAAGGAGGAGGATCCAGGGATTCACATGCAACTCAGCTCTCTGGCTTTGCTAATGGGAAAGTAGCCACAGGCAGTACATGAAGGTAAGAAGCACACAATACAACTGCAAAATGCAAAACCTGAGCACTCAAGAACTCATCTGGAAGTGTGCAGAGCTCCTTCCCATCCCCAGGCAGCACTGCACCCACTCCATCCCCATCAGCCATCTCTGTAAAGGAACCTGCAACAGGTCACCATCCCAGACCATCTCCTCTCTGCTCATCCTGTGGGATGTGTTCCTGCTCGCAGTCAAACCACGGTTCAATGCTATGTTAAATCTGCCTTCAGGGCTTCTGATATGGCATTGGAAACACTGACCCTGGGGCTCCCCAGCTAACTTGAGGTCAGAGGTCACTCTGATGGTTCATGGGTAACCAAGACATGTTTGCAGGTTACCTCTGCATGCCCAACCAAGTGATGCCCATCTGCACCACTGTGGCTGCTTAACCCCAAACCACACACACTGTGCTTAGTACACACCATGGTCTCCAGGCAATTCAGCAAATGCTATCATTCACAACGGCCAAATTCAGTCTTAAAGGTCATGTCATGCCCAGAGCGGCCTGGGGCTTGTTCACACAACCCCACACATTTGCTGCAGCGCTCAGAGAGACCACAGGAACTTGTTTTCTCCCACACATGCTTGTACCTTATTGACTTGCTTCCACCATGCAGAGTAAGTAAAGCCCCAGTGTGTGCTCCAGCTCCAGATGGCTTCCACATGGGCTGTGGAAAGCAGCCTCTGACCAGCAGCATCCTGGAGCATCCTACCACCAGCAGAGCTGCTGCAGCCACCCTGACACATCCCTTCCCCTAACAAAACCACCTTGCACAGGGGGAGCATAGCCCCCCATGCCAGCACAGAGCTGCAGACCCCAAATGAAACCCTTCCAGCTCTGCTGCTTGATGGTCTTCCCCAAGGTGACTCTGCAGTGACACAGGACCTGGGGCAAATCTCCAGATGGACATCATGCATATCCATCTCCTAGACCCATTGCTGTGCAGATTTCCTTTGCTTTCACGGCCTGCCTTGGCTTTCTTTGCAGTCAGGACAGAGATTGCAGCTTGTGTCAAAATGATAGGGCTAATGTTACCTTCCCTCCTTAATAAACAGGGGCTGCAGCAAAGCTACCAGCAACAGAGAGCCCTGAAGCTGGGCCTGCAACACACCCCACCTTTTCACTGAACCTAAGAGGTGTTTTTCACAGCTCAGGCTTGGGCTTCATCCAGCCAGGCCCATGCAATCTGGCCATCAGCAATCTGCAGAGCAAGCATCACCATGCCCCATCTCACCCCATCTCTTCAAGCTCTGCTCACCCCACAGGGTTTCACCCACTGCCTCTTAACCAGGAGACTGCTGCCCACCACCCCTTCCTGCAGAGGTCTGCTGGGAGACACGGGGCCAGGTCTTACCAGCCTGGTTGGTGGTGATGTTCACCGATGCAAACTGCGGGGAGAAAGGGCTCTGGTCGGTGACACCATTCACTGCCTGGATCTCGAAGGTGTACTGGGTATGGGCCAGCAGGTCACTGATGTAGATGCGGGGCTCCGTCAGGCCCAGCTGGCGTGGGGCGAACTGCACGTTGTCCCCACAGCGTGTGCATGCCCCACGGCCAGAGCCGCAGCTCTTGCAGATGATGTTGTAGACCAGGTCCTCCCGGCCCCCCGAGTCTCGTGGTGGGGTCCACTCCAGCATCAGAGATGTCTCGTTCACACTGGAGATGACGGCCTGGGGGGCAGATGGGATAGCTGTAAAGGGAATAGACAGAAAGGTGTAAGAACCAGAGCGCTGCTCATCACTATAGGACCATCTGCACCCCCTCCTCTTCTCCATCCCCTGGACAGGGCTCTGAAGTGGGCATGCACGGAGCTGGATGCTTCTCTTGGTGTCAGGGATGTGCAGCAAGCTGGATACCCAAAGGCAAAAGTGGGAACAAAACCTGTCCTCCTAACCCAGGCTGATGTGATTATGTGGCATCCCTGGCAAAATCCACCAGTTATTTTTTACAACATTCCTGATTTCTGGCCTTTGGACTCATGTCCTTCATGCCAAGGCGCAGGTCTTCTCATCTGAGTACAGCCCTAAAGTGAAGTCATCCCACTTCCTAGAACAGCACAAAACAACCCAGATTTCCATCCTCTCTGCACATGCAATGTTTGCAAGCACAGACTGTCCCAAGGGAAGAAAGACCCATGTCTGCAAGGCTCCTCTGGACAAGGTGATCTGAGCCCCTGCGACCCACTGAGGCAGATGCCTTTGGCTGATGAGCATCTCCTTTCCCAGCCATGTGCAGCCCCCCCTCCCCAGGTTGCCTAGAGCTCACATACTGGTGCACGGCATGTCGATAGGATCGGCATCTGCCCGGTAATATCCATTTCGGCACACGCAGTTTGTGGCCCCTTCTGAAGTTGTCCGGCTGTTAATGGGGCAATGGACGCACCCTTCATCGCCTTGGCTGGCCTTAAACGTCCCCGATGGGCAGCCTGGAAGAGAACCAAGAGCAGTGGTGAGGACTGGGGCTGGCAGGGATGCCCGGAGCCTGGTGATGCTGCTAGGAAACACCCTTTGGGGCTCTGCAGAGTCCAAAGCCAAAACTGACAAATGGAAGTGAACAAAGTGGAGAAGGAGCAGCTGAGGAGGCAGGAGCTGCTGCCTGTGCTGCCTGCAGACATCAGGTCCACATGCAGACATCGGGTCCACATGCAGACATCTCCTTCTGCTACTCCGCAGCCGTGAGGGCAGAGCAGGGACCACGCACAGAGTCCTATGAATGCAAAGGGGATTTTGAGCCATTGCCACATAAGATGCAAGTCAGACCACTGTCACCAACAGTGACCACCCAAGGAGTAAGGCACAATCCAGGCACATGCACTAGCCATGATACCTCCCCACCCTCCAACAGCCTATAGCCTATATAGAGTTTCTAACAGGCAGGCTCTTTGCGTTTAGCATCTCTAGTGGGATGTTTCTTCCACTGAGTTTTCCAGTCCTTCCTTTATTCCATGCAAATGCTTTGCACCCCTTTTATCCCGCAGCACAGAGCCCCGAGGTGCAACCACAGGCTGCATGAAGGAACTGCTGCCTTCTGCTTGGAAGCTGCCATTTCATTTGATGCAACTTCACACCTGCAGTGACAATGAACACTCAATCACCATCCATCTTCTCCATGACCTCTAGGATTGCACAGATCTCTGTCACGCCTCAGCAAGCTGCATAACAACATTCACTACTTTATTCTCTACTCTTTTCCCATCATTAAGTCTCCAAATTATTCTTTAACCAGCAATGCATCAACTGGACTACTCATTATAGCCCCAGGGTCTCATTCCTTAGAGACACTGGGCCAACTCAGCCTATCTCTGTGTGTGTTTGTGTGAAGTTTGGGGTTATTTTCTCCTATTTGCACCACTTCAAGCCTATTGAATTCCAGTTACCTTCTCATTCCCCAATCTCACTGTCTCATGAGGTCCTTTTGCAGCTCTCCACAGCCAGTCCTTCTCTTCACTACTTGGTATCATAGCTAGAGCACCACTTCTTGGTAGCAGCGTGCTAGATTCTACCTCCACTGGGGCTCAGATCTCTAAACCACTCAGAGATGAAGAAGATGCTCCAGTAACAACAGTAGCTCAAATATGTGTGTTCAGCCATGCAGGGCTGGTGAGGGTGGCATGGGGCATGCATTGTGCCTGCAGCAGATTGAGTGTTGAAGGCTGGACCACGATGTGAAATACAGTATTAAGAGATACAGCACAGGTAGCTAAAAACATCACTGCAAAGCTTTAAACACCACAAAGTCCATTCTAAGTCAGGGGATCACCAATGCCATAGCACAAGCTTGGCTTTAAAGCATTTATCCACACAGCTCTTGGTGATTACTCTTGGTCGGGACTTTCTGCCGCTGTTCATTCCCTCTGCAGCACAAAGAGCCTGGGGGCTGGCAGGTGGGTTCTGCACTGAAACGAGTTAAACAAACTCCTCCTTCAGTTTGCTGCCAAGGCATTCAGGAATGAGGAAGATCAGAGAAACAGCCTGGGAAACACATGCACTCAGGGCTGCTGTAAGCAAGAGAAGGGCTCAGAAGTAGCTGTTTTTTCCTTTGGGGGGGGAAGGAGAAAGAGGAGAGGACAGTTTTCATCTCCCTTCCTTCAAAATTATCTTGAGATTCCAATGGGAAAAGCTCTACAGAAAAACACCATCAAGCTGTCCTGCTTGCAGAATGCTCTCCTGCCTCCTACAGTCAAAGAGAACTGCTGAAAACCTGCCTTCTCCTCATGTTCCTGGATCCCTCCACCCTCGCTGTCCCCTATCAGCCATGTATTTGACTCTATTTCTGACCCTATTTCCAGCATGTCCCTTGGTACAGACCCATCTCAGAGGGTGTTAAGCTGTTGGGAGAGGTGATGGATGCAGAGTTCTCTGTTACAGAGAAGTGATGTCAGCTCTGCAGTGGAAATGGTAACAGGGTCCAGGTACTAAAACCAGTTTTTGAAGCATGGTAAGACCAACATGCAAATGGCCCTAGTCTGACAACCAGGGTGAAATACAAAGTCAGTTATCAAAGACATTTAAAGACACGGGCCTCTTTCAGCTTCTTGAGGCTTATTTTAAGAGTAACAACTTTCCTGTAAGGCGGTTTCTGCATCAAGGCAGAGATACAACAAAAAAGTGACGCTGCTGAGATTTAGCAACTGGCCCCAAGGGATAAAAAACACTCTCCAGGTTTGGCCTGGCACAGGCCCATGGCTGCAGTTTAATACTTCTGCATCTTCTGCTCTTAGAGGAAACAGCTTTTAATTTGGAATCCACCCAATGTCTTGCTTCCAGAGTAAACAGCAAATCAAACCTGGAATCTTCAGGCAATGGCTAAACCCCCTCCCGTTTGAACAGCCTGGATGTTCTCATCACTTGCTGGAAGACATGAGGACACCTCAGTTTTCTGCCCTAGGTGAAGACAGCAGCCTTGCAATGAGGGCAGAGGCAGAGCATCCCTAGAAACTGCTGCTTGGGAAGAGGGAATTGAAACACTGAAAGCATAGAGACTTTTACTTTGTCAGAGCATCCTTCATCCCAGGAGGGTGACAGTGGTTTTGGCCCCATCACTGAAGCAGGGGGGGATTGCAGCTTCCCACATGGTGGGTTCCTGCATCTCCAGCACCAATCCGAGGATGCTAACAGGGGCTCACAGGAAACATATGGACCTTTAATTGCCTCACTGCTGCACATAGGCATGGATGGCTGCCTCACCAGAGCACAGCTTCCACACAGCAGCTAAGAGCATTGGTAGCTCTCTCAAACAAGATTCAGAGCACCTCACCAGCACCAGGTATCCTCATTTCCCACCCACCCACTCCCAGGGCACAGAAGGGGGGCCATGCCTGGCAATGCACATGGTTTGGGAAGGGAATGCCATGGATAGGAACCCATGAACGGTCCTGCCCTCCCCTGCAGGAGGACCACAACCATGGATCTGGGAGGGAAGGCCACTTCCACAGCATCTGCTGCTGGAGGCAGCCTGGCAGCATCCAGCCCTTCTTCCACCAGCACTGCCTACCCATGGCAGCTTGATGGAGTAAGGCAGCCTGTAGCTCACGATAAGGAAAAGCCTTTGATGCAATGTGCAAGAGGGGCCACAGAGGGGTTCACTGCATTTCTCCAGCCAACTTAACCCAGTGTGAGCTGAGCAGCCTCCAATCTCCTCTGCATCAAAACCTGCCCTGGCCTTCAGAGCCCACCCCAGACCAGCTCTGCAAAGAGCTCAGAGCAAACAGCTCTCTCTTGCAGTCAAGGTTTCCGAAATGGCACCTTCATTCTGTGCTAATGGCTCTGAGGAAGGGCTCCCCTCGGCTCCCTTTGCCTGCCTTTTGTTCCTCCTGGCAGCCAGGCTCCTTCCACTGGAGCAAGGCGTTTTTAACGGCTGATGGAAAACAGGCAGCCCTGGCTCTGTCAGTTGGGATCTGCCAAGAGTCTTAAACCCCCAGCCTTATCTCCCAGCTGCCTCTCTTCTCCCTCGGGGCTGGAGGCAGGGGGCAGGCAGGCTGGCGCTGCAGCCTGATGCTGGCAGCATCCTTGGCGCTGGTTTCCTCAGCCACATCCTTCCTCTTGCCCTCCCCTGCTCTTTGGCTCTCCCACAGCCCTCCCTGCTCCCACTGGCATCCAACTCACACTGCAAACCCTACACAAGCCTCTGGCTCCCCTGCACTGACCCCATGCCAAGTGGGTGCCAGAGGTTTGCTCTTACAAAGGAACCATGTCCTGGGCCACACCAGCAGCAGCGTGGCTAGCACCTCGAGGGAGGTGTTTTCCCCTGCCAGGCACTGGGGATGCTGTCACAGCTCGTTTGTGATTGCCCAGTTCAAGGGCAGTATGAGGAACAACAGCTCAGTACAGGGTCACCAAATGGCCAGCCCTGGGACACATGGTATACAAGGAGAGGTGCAAAGAGCTGGGATGGCTTACTTGGGGTAAGGGGGGCAACTAACTGCAGCTGCAGCTGTTTGGGGGCAGATGCAAAGACAGACACAAACACTTCTCAGAGGGCCGGACTCTGCATCAAAGGACAAGGACCACGAGTTCAGAGAGGGCAGCAGGAACAGCTCCTTCTCCAAAGGATGGTGCAGGTCACAGTGGTGCATCTCCTTCCTTGCAGGAGAGTCAGCTAAACACTATGGCTGTCTTGAGCTAATGCTGGTGGCAGTCCTGCCGCAAGTGGGAGGCTGGACCCAGACCACAGAGCCTCCTCCACCAGCATTTCTAGGTCTCTGCTGCTCATGCTGTGTGTGTGAAGGTATTTCTGATGTTGCCCAGTGCAGAAGATTATTATGTCCAATCAGCTCTGAACTCATCCCTTTTTCCTTTCATCAACCATGCCCTTCACAGTATCACAGTATGTTAGAGATTGGAAGGGACCTCAAAAGCTCATCTAGTCCAATCCCCCTGCCGGAGCAGGAACACCTAGATAAGGTTACACAGGAACGTGTCCAGGTGGGTTTTGAATGTCTCCAGAGAAGGAGACTCCACAACCTCCCTGGGCAGCCTGTTCCAGTGTTCTGTCACCCTCACTGAGAAGTTTCTTCTCAAGTTTAAGTGGAACCTCTTGTGTTCCAGTTTGTACCCATTGCCCCTTGTCCTATCATTGTTTGCCACTGAGAAGAGCCTGGCTCCATCCTCGTGACACTCCCCCTTTATATATTTATATACACTAAGAAGGTCACCCCTCAATCTCCTCTTCTCCAAACTATAGAGACCCAGCTCCCTCAGTCTTTCCTCATAAGGGAGATGCTCCACTCCCTTCATCATCTTAGTTGCCCTGCGCTGGACTCTCTCCAGCAGGTCCCCATCTTCATACAAGATGAGGTGGATGTTGTAATAACAGTCACTTTTCCCATATTCTTCTCCCTTCTGCCCCTCACACCTTGACCCTTGGTTTAAGTTCTGCATGCAAATGGGTCTCACTTTGTCTTACCTGCAGAAGTTGCCCATTCTC